TATTAAGGCTTGATAGACGATAACTTGATAAAAACGAACTAAAGATTAACAACAGTTCGATCGAAATTCCAACCATACTGACCGTCAAAGACTGTTAGGTTCCAACTCAAAACACGAGCGTGTTCCTCCTTAAAAATTCTAGCTACATAAAGATTTTTGTCACAGTCCTAAAGCGGTTCAGGGTCCACGTGCGAATCCAAAATACCCGTTTAAAGAGATCACGTGACGTAACAAAACTAAAGCTGAGAAGGCGTTACAAGTATCATCAGTAAATAAATGGAAATCAAAAAATTTAGAGCTACGGTGAAAGTCATTAATATATAACAAGAAGAGAATTGGTCCAAGGACTGACCCCTGAGGAACACCAGATGAAATATTGACAGAGGCAGAAGTTACACCATTTATTGTGACTGTTTGCAAACGAGCGGAAAAACGGGTGAGATTTGTGCGAACCCGCCGGGCAAACTTAAATCCAGCAGGAATATTTGCGTCCTGTTCCGAACACTTTACGGAGGACTGTTTCGAGAGATCTGTGCACTTCGAAGGATCTATGCGAAGAATTCTGCCGGGTTCAATGCCTACCATTTAAAAAAAGGGACAAGAAAAACCGGTCTTAGTGCGATCTCGACTAAAGAGAAGTCTACGTGATTTGTCACCTTTACATGACCTAATCAATATCTGCCTTTATCTACTCTCTCGTTGGTGGACGTAAACAATAGATATCTCATTAGCTTCTTTTGTTCGTCCACCAGCATATGATCCTTTCACCATTGTTACTAGACTTTCTCAAAGTCCGTTTTTGTGGGAGTCCATTGGCGTGGAACAAGGACTTTCCTCACCTGCAGCGCGCCAAATCCAACCGTACCGACCAGATTTTAGGTCGGCGGTGTGTCAGGGGGAGTGGTAGCAATACTCTCCAATCAGAAACCGTCGTGTAATTTCATTTTCCTAGTAACTTGATCTCCCGCTCCAGTGCGTAGACTGAATCAAAATGAATGTGCGAGAAGCCATAAACCTCGGGTTAAAAAAGCTAAATTTCGAAGATATCAGAGAGAATCAACGGAAAGTCGTAGAAGCTTACCTCGGTGGCTGAGATGTTTTGATAATTTCGTCGACAGGATCGGAAAAAATTTTGCCTTTCATATCGCGCCATTTGCGATAGATTTCTTTAAACATGGCGAAAGAGATGGTATTCAGACGGTGTGCCTTGTACTTTTTCCTCTGGTTTCGCTAATGAATGACCAAGTGTCTAGCTTACGTGAAAAAGGAATCAAGGCTGTTGTTATGGGTCCAGACAGTTCAGAAACCGAAAACAAGGAAGCCTCAGAGGGCAAATGCAACCGTGTGTTCACAAGCCCCGAAGCTTTGTTTTGTAGTCATCAGTCCGCGATTCTCACATTGAAGAACAAAATCGAAGCTGTATTCATTGATGAAGTGCATTGTGTGGCGAAATGGTTATACTACTTTTCGATCACCTTCTTTTCTTCTGTCCCAAGTTCGCTTTTGTCGTCTTCCGCGGCTTTCTCACTGATATTTCACATTTACATTCATGTAAGTTTTGATGTAGTGCACTGTGCAAAAGTAATCAAAGCGAATTTCGTCTTTTCGCTAACAAGGCCTCAATTTAGAGCGGTTAAAACAACAGCGGCATCGAAAACTCGCGAACGATTTGTTCAAGTGTCGTATCCTTCGAAATTTCGCTACTATTAGTCGAAATCCGAGGAAATTTGTCGGGGTTCTATTTCGAGATTATCAGGACTAACACCAAAGTAAAGATTTCAGTCAAACAACCACTGGAGGGATGGATTGTTGGAGAGATAACACCAGAGGTATTTCTCAATGGTGCAGTGTATTTAACGTGATTTTTTTTTTTTTTTTTT